GTGCCACCAAACAGCAGCGGCAGGTTGGTGTGACGACCTGGAAATTTGAAGTTATGCTAGCTGAAATTAGTGCTGGATTACTGATGGAACCAGATTATTGATTGCTGGATTAGTGATGGTCGACCTGTACACAGTTTTCCTGCGTTTATGCACTTTTGAGATTTAAGAAGGTGGCTCAAGCGTGAAAACCTTTCTGTTCAAAGATTTCTATGGTATTGGGAAAGCAAGCTGGCTCAATAGAGTATATGCTGTAGTGGCTCAATAGACCTCAACACCCATTTATCAGCCGTCAGCTGATAAAACATAGAGAAATGACTCACAGTCGTTTACCACTAAGCACTAACATAACCATCTTCAAACATTTCTTTATCAACAAGCAAGAGAACAGGGAATTTAAGGCAGGAAAAAATTCTTCCTTGTCACTAAATAACAAAAAAAAGGCACAACACCGTGACTGGAACAATACACTAATAACCCGCACATAGAAGAGAGGAGCTTACGACGACGTTTCCGTTCGACTTGGACCATTCACAAAGTCACACTAACGAGAAGGAGGGCAGGATGGGTATATATAGGCAGGAGGTGGTAGTAGTAGTAGTAGTGGTAGTAGTGGAGGTGGAAGGAAGTAGCAGTGGGGAGCTGGTGCCCTCTGTGACTGGCCCCTCCTACTTTTACTACCTCCCCACTACTACTTCCTTCCACCTCCACTACTACCACCACTACTACTACTACCACCTCCTGCCTATATATACCCATCCTGCTCTCCTTCTCATTAGTGTGACTTTGTAAATGGTCCAAGTCAGACCGAAACATTGTGAAATGTATGAATGACAGGACAATAACCATGCCACATATAAACTAAATAATGTATATCTTAATATTACGGATTGGGAAAAAGATTTAGGAGTTCTGGTTAGCAGTAATCTGAAACCAAGACAACAGTGCATAAGTGTTCGCAATAAAGCTAATAGAATCCTTGGCTTCATATCAAGAAGCATAAATAATAGGAGTCCTCAGGTTGTTCTTCAACTCGATACATCCTTGGTTAGGCCTCATTTACATTATGCTGCGCAGTTTTGGTCACCGTATTACAGAATGAATATAATTTTTTTTTTTTTTTTTTTTTTTATCACACCGGCCGATTCCCACCAAGGCAGGGTGGCCCGAAAAAGAAAAACTTTCACCATCATTCACTCCATCACTGTCTTGCCAGAAGGGTGCTTTACACTACAGTTTTTAAACTGCAACATTAACACCCCTCCTTCAGAGTGCAGGCACTGTACTTCCCATCTCCAGGACTCAAGTCCGGCCTGCCGGTTTCCTGAATCCTTCATAAATGTTACTTTGCTCACACTCCAACAGCACGTCAAGTATTAAAAACCATTTGTCTCCATTCACTCCTATCAAACACGCTCACGCATGCCTGCTGGAAGTCCAAGCCCCTCGCACACAAAACCTCCTTTACCCCCTCCCTCCAACCCTTCCTAGGCCGACCCCTACCCCGCCTTCCTTCCACTACAGACTGATACACTCTTGAAGTCATTCTGTTTCGCTCCATTCTCTCTACATGTCCAAACCACCTCAACAACCCTTCCTCAGCCCTCTGGACAACAGTTTTGGTAATCCCGCACCTCCTCCTAACTTCCAAACTACGAATTCTCTGCATTATATTCACACCACACATTGCCCTCAACATGACATCTCCACTGCCTCCAGCCTTCTCCTCGCTGCAACATTCATCACCCACGCTTCACACCCATAATAAGAGCGTTGGTAAAACTATACTCTCATACATTCCCCTCTTTGCCTCCAAGGACAAAGTTCTTTGTCTCCACAGACTCCTAAGTGCACCACTCACTCTTTTTCCCTCATCAATTCTATGATTCACCTCATCTTTCATAGACCCATCCGCTGACACGTCCACTCCCAAATATCTGAATACGTTCACCTCCTCCATACTCTCTCCCTCCAATCTGATATTCAATCTTTCATCACCTAATCTTTTTGTTATCCTCATAACCTTACTCTTTCCTGTATTCACCTTTAATTTTCTTCTTTTGCACACCTACCAAATTCATCCACCAATCTCTGCAACTTCTCTTCAGAATCTCCCAAGAGCACAGTGTCATCAGCAAAGAGCAGCTGTGACAACTCCCACTTTGTGTGTGATTCTTTATCTTTTAACTCCACGCCTCTTGCCAAGACCCTCGCATTTACTTCTCTTACAACCCCATCTATAAATATATTAAACAACCACGTGACATCACACATCCTTGTCTAAGGCCTACTTTTACTGGGAAAAAATTTCCCTCTTTCCTACATACTCTAACTTGAGCCTCACTATCCTCGTAAAACTCTTCACTGCTTTCAGTAACCTACCTCCTACACCATACACTTGCAACATCTGCCACATTGCCACCCTATCCACCCTGTCATACGCCTTTTCCAAATCCATAAATGCCACAAAGACCTCTTTAGCCTTATCTAAATACTGTTCACTTATATGTTTCACTGTAAACACCTGGTCCACACACCCCCTACCTTTCCTAAAGCCTCCTTGTTCATCTGCTATCCTATTCTCCGTCTTACTCTTAATTCTTTCAATTATAACTCTACCATACACTTTACCAGGTACACTCAACAGACTTATCCCCCTATAATTTTTGCACTCTCTTTTATCCCCTTTGCCTTTATACAAAGGAACTATGCATGCTCTCTGCCAATCCCTAGGTACCTTACCCTCTTCCATACATTTATTAAATAATTGCACCAACCACTCCAAAACTATATCCCCACCTGCTTTTAACATTTCTATCTTTATCCCATCAATCCCGGCTGCCTTACCCCCTTTCATTTTACCTACTGCCTCACGAACTTCCCCCACACTCACAACTGGCTCTTCCTCACTCCTACAAGATGTTATTCCTCCTTGCCCTATACACGAAATCACAGCTTCCCTATCTTCATCAACATTTAACAATTCCTCAAAATATTCCTTCCATCTTCCCAATACCTCTAACTCTCCATTTAATAACTCTCCTCTCCTATTTTTAACTGACAAATCCATTTGTTCTCTAGGCTTTCTTAACTTGTTAATCTCACTCCAAAACTTTTTCTTATTTTCAACAAAATTTGTTGATAACATCTCACCCACTCTCTCATTTGCTCTCTTTTTACATTGCTTCACCACTCTCTCTTAACTTCTCTCTTTTTCTCCATATACTCTTCCCTCCTTGCATCACTTCTACTTTGTAAAAACTTCTCATATGCTAACTTTTTCTCCCTTACTACTCTCTTTACATCATCATTCCACCAATCGCTCCTCTTCCCTCCTGCACCCACTTTCCTGTAACCACAAACTTCTGCTGAACACTCTAACACTACATTTTTAAACCTACCCCATACCTCTTCGACCCCATTGCCTATGCTCTCATTAGCCCATCTATCCTCCAATATAATATGTACAAATGTACAAAGGAGGATGACAAAGTTGATCCCATGTATCAGAAACCTTCCCTATGAGGATAGACTGAGGGCCCTGAATCTGCACTCTCTAGAAAGACGTAGAATTTGGGGGGATATGATTGAGGTGTATAAATGGAAGACAGGAATAAATAAAGGGGATGTAAATAGTGTGCTGAAAATATCTAGCCTAGACAGGACTCGCAGCAATGGTTTTAAGTTGGAAAAATTCAGATTCTGGAAGGATATAGGAAAGTACTGGTTTGGTAATAGAGTTGTGGATGAGTGGAACAAACTCCCAAGTACAGTCATAGAGGCCAGAACGTTGTGTAGCTTTAAAAATAGGTTGAATAAATACATGAGTGGGTGTGAGTTGGACCTGATTAGCTTGTGCTACCAGGTCGGTTGCCGTGTTCCTCCCTTAAGTCAAGGTGACCTGACCTGACTAGGTTGGGTGCATTGGCTTAAGCCGGTAGGAGACTTGGACCTGCCTCGCATGGGCCAGTAGGCCTTCTGCAGTGTTCCTTCGTTCTTATGTTCTTATCTACACACACTTCTTAATCAACAAGCAAGAGAAACAAAGAATTTAAGATCAAGCAAAAGAGAGAAAGAATTTAAGATAAGGTAAAAATTTTCTTGTTACTTCTGTTAGCACATTTCATACTAATAATATTTTGTATTGAATTCATAATATTCACTGGTGGGTTATTAGCATTCTATGTTTTCTTTGAAAGAAATGCCATGCCCATAAAATGCTAATTTATGCAGGGTCTTATTAAGCTTATTTTGCAAGTTGTGTATTTTGAATACATAACATATATTTCTAAAGCAAGAAGCAACAACAACTGTAACGTAAGGTGTCAAACGCTCATTATTTTTATATGAAATATTAAATAAAAAAAAAAATATTATTAACATCACATGGCACAAAATTACACAGTGCCAATATCAGAAAAGTAACCCTTACATTATGTGAGATTCTACTGTTATTTAACCAACTGAACCTAACCAAACCTAAAGAACATTTGTAGAAAAATAAGCATTAAAAAAGTTATGCAAAAATTAACAGTTCAATATGATGTTATAAGTATGTACAGTATGTTACTCAGAGGTTGGAAAAAAATCAAGTATGCTATATTTGATTTATAAATTTGTATACTATGTTGAAATCCTTACTTATATGAGTAAATAGCAAAGAATATAAATCCAAGGACATATTGTGTGCACAATAACTGAATAAGTTGGTAAATGGAGGCAAACAAGGTTGTATTTGACACATGTGAGCCTTTTAAAAATACCAAGAATAGGAGAGGTAGATATGTAGTATAATATTAGAGAGTGAAAGGGAGTGATACAATTCTGACTGAGATCTCAAGGATTCCTTATGTAAAAATTCATCTTTTAACATTCAAAATCTAGTTCTGTTGTCTTGTTCTCATCCACAGAGATAAAAAATCATAAAGGAAAATTTATCCATTTTGTGTCACATAAAATAAAAATCTTTAAATTATAGACCTCCAAAGAAAGCTTTGACAAACCTCATTTTCCCAAGTGTCATCAAATGCATGTGATGCTGTTGGTTCAAAATCATGGGTGTACTGTCGGCCACCACAGGATGTCGGGGCACAGCAAGTACACATGCATGAGTGGTATCGAAGCCGGCCTTCATCCAGATATGGGTGTCCAAGTGCCTCAGTAACTGTTAACCGTTTATCCTGAAGAGCATTTTTGCGTTTTAATTAAAATATTACATATAATATTTTAAGAGATTCTGAAATTGTAATTACAATACAGAGTTGCAAGTTGATCTATTGTGCACTGGCATTCACTATCGCTATACATACATAATCAACATGGAAGTCAACACTGTAGACAAAAGGTTAAAACTATTTCTTAACTGTTTTGCTAGTTGCTTTACCAGTCTGCGTCTGTTGAACATTTCTTCTTTGATATGTGCACCTCTGTAGAATTGCTAGGATGACTTCATTTTTTTATTTCTCACTGTGAGCCCAAGATAACTACTTGAACAAAATAATCATCATATGGAAATGCAAGAGGCTTCTTCCATTTTTACTGAGAGTAATACTAAATACAGTAGATCAGAAATTATCCAGTGACTGCTTACTTGGTGTTTAACTGTTTTGTCAGGAGGCAATTACCTAAGTTATTACCCTAGAGAGATTCCGGGGCAGCCCCGCGCCCTTCCTGTGACAGCTCCATAGTCAGTGTCAGGATGCACCCACACCATCGACAACACCAGACCATTTACTGATGGGAACATAGACACAGTGGACAGAAACACTACTCAAATGTTTCTGCTCTGGCTGGGAATCGAACAGGCCCTCACTGTGTGAAGCGAGAGAGCGTAAAACCAGGCACCAGAGCCTCTATTAGTATAGTATATTGTTTAGATTTAGTGATACAAACAAGATTAGGTGGGCATTCAGCACACTGGGTACTGGAGATATGAATTCTCCATGCAGTAAGAGCAAGAAACACACAAAATCCTCCCTATTTGTATTCTCCTAGTGCAAGCACTGAAAGAAATAAGTGCAAATAGGGAAGCAAAATTGACAATAAAAAATTATGCGATACTTGCATTTTTTTTTTTAGAATTGGACAAGCACCCAACCTATCCTTACAGTGCCAGAGATGATGATCAAACAATAGCAAAGAACAAAAAGGCACATACCATGACAGGAAAAACTAAGAACCTGCACACAGGAGAGGGAGAAAAGAGAGAGAGAAAGAGAGAGAGAGAGAGAGAGAGACAGACTAGAGACAGAGAGACAGACAGACAGAGAGACAGACAGACAGAGAGACAGACGAGAGACAGAGAGAGAGAGACAGAGAGAGAGAGAGAGAGAGAGAGAGAGAGAGAGAGAGCAAGAGAGAGAGAGAGAGAGCGAGAGAGCGAGAGAGAGCAAGAGAGAGAGCGAGAGAGAGAGCGAGGAGGAGCGAGAGAGAGAGCGAGAGAGCGAGAGAGAGCGAAGAGAGAGAGCGAGAGAGAGAGCGAAGAGAGAGAGCGAGAGAGAGAGCGAGAGAGAGAGCGAGAGAGAGAGCGAGAGAGAGAGCGAGAGAGAGCAAGAGAGAGAGCAGAGAGAGAGCGAGAGAGAGAGCGAGAGAGAGAGTCTGAGCTGCAATAGAGGTAGGAAGCTAACCGTAAATAGCTTTATAAAGCTAGATCCTTAACCGGTCAAACAACTGTGTAAACAAAAAAAAAAAACAGAGAGATAGCCAGAGAGAGAGCAAGAGAGAGAGCAAGATAGAGCAAGAGAGAGAGCAAGAGAGAGAGCAAGAGTGGGCCATTGCTAAATGGGAGGTGGACACTAAAAGAAAGCTAGCATCAGGTAGGGTAGGCTCCAAAACCTGGTGGTCCCTGGTCAAGGACAGACAAGGTTATCTGCCTGATGAACTCATTCCACCTCTAAATCGACAGGATGGGACCACCTCTACTAGTAGTCAAGAGAAGGCGGACCTCTTTGCTAAACACTTTGCTACCAAAATGCAAGTTCCTGATCCAGCAAGGGACCCTCCTTGGCTAGCTGCAAGAACTGTGTCAAAACTGTTAGTGGTGACAATAAGGCAGGAGGAGGTGCATTTCCTTCTTAAATCGCTTGACCAAGAAAAGGCTGTGGGCCCAGACAAGTTGAGCCCAAGATTGCTGAGAAGATATGCAGACCAGCTAGCAGCACCTCTAACTCGCATCTTTCAGCACTGCCTAGTACAGTGTAAATGGCCCTCTCTATGGAAAGAGGCAAATGTAGCCCCTGTTCACAAAAAGAAAAGCAGAGCAGAAATCAGCAACTACAGACCAGTGTCACTCCTGTCAATCACTGGTAAGATCCTTGAGACAATAATCTCAAGACAAATGACAGAGTTTTTTTTGACTATCACTCACTACTTTGTGATCGTCAATATGGCTTCAGGAAAGGCTACTCTGCTGCTGATCTGTTGTTAAACCTCTCCACTAAGTGGCACCAGTCACTGGATGAATCCAAAGTCAGCTGTGTGGTAGCACTGGACATTGCTGGAGCTTTCGACTGGGTGTGGCACCAGGGCCGCTTAGCAAAACTTCAAGCACTGGGAATTGCAGGCTCTACGCTATGTCTCCTCAGTGATTACCTTCATGGTAGATCTCTAAGTGTAGTTCTCAATGGAACGGAATCAGCAAGACATCCTATTGGGGCAAGTGTTCCACAAGGAAGCGTGCTGGGACCATTGTTATGGAATGTCTACTTCAACGACCTTCTTCATCTCATCCCAGAATCACATGCATATGCAGATGACTGTACACTGACATTCACTTATCCAAGAAAAGAAATGCCAGCTTCTCTAAGATACATCAATCACCAGCTGAGAGCTATATCAGCTTGGAGAAATAGATGGCAAGTAACATTTGCACCTGAGAAAACGCAAATGATGATCGTCTCTAGGCACCATGATGGTAATGCTGGTGCAATAGTAAGGATGAATGGGAGGGTGTTGGCACCTGGAGAAGAAGTTGATATCCTTGGGGTGAAATTTGACTCCAAACTAACCATGAAGAACCATGTTGTAAATCTTGCAAACAAGGCAGCCAGGAAGCTTACAGCACTTCACCGTATCTCACATCTACTTGACAGTAGGGGTTGCAAGATTCTGTACGAGGCACAAGTATGCTCACACCTTGAGTATGCTCCACTTTCTTGGTTTGCCTGCCCCCCCCCCTCTCATCTGCGACTGCTTGACAGAGTAGAGAACAGAGCAAGACGTCTCATCTCTCGCCTGGACCCATCCTGGATAGATCTGTCATTTCAGCAGAGCCTTCAACATAGGAGGGATGTGGGTGGCCTTACTGTTATGTACAAGGCCAATATTGTCAAAGTACCACACTTGGATCCACTTCGAGGACAGCGTGAAACAAGCTTTTATGCCTCAAGACGGGCAGAAAGCAACAACTTCACTCTGGCTGTACCCTTCTCCAGAACATCACTCCATCTGAGATCACATATACCGAGGATTACTCGAGTATGGAACACATTCGTACAGCATAATGATGTCAACGAGATAAAGTCAGTTGATCAAATGAAAATGCTGGCACACAGATGGCTCCAATTTCATCCTGTTCCCTACTTGTATGTCTCATAACAATAAAAATGCTTTCAAATGAGCTGATGTAGGTAACAGCTCTTAGTTTGCCAATAAAGTTAGGAATCCTTAACCTGTAAATAGCTTGTCAATAAAGCTAGGGATCCTTAACCTTGTCAAACCCTGTGTAAAAAAAAAAAAAAAAAAAAAAAAAAAAGCGAGAGAGAGAGAGAGAGAATTACGACACTTCAGTCCGACTCGGACCATTTACAAAATCATGCTTGTGCAACTTCCATCCACCTACTCAACTACTTTTGATCCAAGGAATTTGAGCTACCCTCCCCATCCTGTTTCTCAAGTGCTGTGTAACCTCTACAGGTTTAGCACTTGTTATACTATTCATATGTTGCACAAATCTTACACAACTATTCTTGTTGCACAGCTGTTGTTACACAACTGTTCTTGTTACACAACTATTCTTATACATACAACTATTATTACACAACTGTTCTTGTTATACAGCTGTTTGCTACACAACTGTTCTTGTTATACAACTATCATTACACAACTGTTCTTGTTACACAATCATTCATGTTACACAACATTCACTGTTCTTTTCACACAACTGCTTTTGATACACTTTTAATTCTTTTTTACACAATTATTCTTTTTAAAAACCTGTTCATTACAAAATTTTTTTCACTTTTTTTTGGTTACACAATTTTACACAAAAAAACTACAATTTTAGGAGACTGAATTTTTATGAAGTTCTGTCTGATTTGGACCAAATAACTTGTCACACAAAAAGGTAAAGGGGAAAAAGGGGCAAAATTTAATGAAGGGAGGGACAGGACTGAAAAATGAGAAAAGGGGAAAGATGTTTTAAACTGTAGTATAGCAGTAGTAATACAACAGTGATAGAGGTGGAAATAAAAAGGGTAGTAGAAATTTTTAAAAGGGGTTTGAGAATGGCTGTTAAAAAAGATAGTAGTATAATAGTAAAGTTATCTAAAGGAACAAAAAAACAGAGGAGAACTGCAGAAGAACTAGGGCAAATTTCCCTTTTGGGACAAAACCCCCACAGAAACAGAACCCACCTAGGGGGAAACATTAAAGACAAGAAAATATAGGAAAGTCGTGTAAAAGAATGTTTAAAAACAGACAAAAGGGAATTGAGAAAACAGGAAAGGTAAAAAGGGTTTAGAGAGAGGAAAAAAACACAGATTGGGTTTAAGGGCCCCCAAATGTTCTGAAGTTTGAAGCATTTGAAAATTTGAAATTGAAAAGAAAGGCAACATCAAAGACAACCCAAAGACTAAGTTTCAAATTAAAAATTTCTAAGTGCTGTAAATTTGGGCTGTTTTGTTGAAGAAACCCCTCAACACATTTTGCCTATATTGTCAGTCCCCTTTCCCGCCCTTCCCCATTAAGGGCATTCCTTATACACTTTTTTCCCTTTATTTTTTTTTGCTGCCCATTTCCCAGGATTAAAAGGTCAGTTATATAAAAAAAACCCGGGTTTTCCCTGAATCCTTTAAACAAAAATATTACCCTGCTCACCCTCCAACACTCGTCGGGGGTCCCAAATACCATTCGTCCCCCCATTCACTCCTACCTAACACGTCATGCAGTTTTCGGAAGAAAC